AGATGTGCTAGCTTAGCTCTGCTGGCTGCTGGTGGTCATACTGTCTGTATATTGTCATATTTTCTACCACCCACCTTCTCCACCCAGGACAAATGGAAATCCTTTTGTACATTCTGGGACAAGTTAACTTGTTCTGTTTTTTTCCTTTAAGATACGTCGAGAGGGCGTGCGTCTCTTTCTTTTGTGGCTGCAAGCACTTCAAAATAACTGTAGTAAAGAACAATTATGGATGTTTTCTTGCTTGATTCCTGGATTTTCATCACCACAATCTGAATATGGCCCCCGAACATTAGATAATCTCATTAATCCTCCACTGAATGTTCAAGAAAGTAAGTAATTTGGTAATATTACTCAATTCTCTACGTGTTTCAATTCTCAGCACAGAAGAGGCAAGTTGAAGTAACGAAGAACTAAGATACACATGTACCCAGGGAGATTATGGAGCTGTTAATTAGTTTTTTGGCAGTTTATTTGGTCTAGTTCCAGTTGTAATTTTGCCTTTTGTTGTTTTTCAGGGGTGAATTGTTTTTTGTTTTGTTTTAAAAGTATGGCTGTAATAGCTTAACAGATAGCAGGTGAAAATAAACTGACCGGTTTCGAGTAATTGTTCTTAAGAATTGCAAGCAGATATTGCATCTGTTGGAAACTTGCACAGGCGGATTCTGCTTATGATGAACATTTGCACTGGCTTTAGCCATACTCTATGGAGTAAGCTACACAAAGCAGTTTTTGGCATGGCCTTTAAGGGAATGAGTGGTTGTTAGGACAATGCATAAAGCCAAATGGTTGATCTTCCTGCTGTGTCTGTGTATGACCAGGCAATTAAAGCTGTGGTATTCTTGTGGCTTGGAATCTTCCAAAAAGAATTGGAGCCTGCAGATTGCAAAACCTGAGGTAGAAAGTTCTGCATCAGTGGGAAGGCTTGAGCATTCAGAGAGAACCTTTTTATATTTTATAGATTTATTTTTTTTTAAATGTAAAGATTATAATCTTGATTCTAATCAATAGAGTAAGGATGATTTTTCTCTTAAGACAAATCTCATGACAGATTTTCCCTTGACTGTTTACTCTAACAGTAAGTATCAGATACTGGTAACGTTGGGGAGCCTCTTGCCTCCTAACTCAATTTGTTCCTGTTAGTAGGATTTTAAATTAATTTATTAATGAATTGCAATTTGATGGGGTCATAAGTGCAGTCTATGTAAATATGAATAAGAATCTAACCACTTTTTCCTCTGAACATTGAGTGCTGTTGCCTTTTGTCCACCTCCACTCTATGTTTTAGAGATGACATAAGCATTGCTTGTAGAAGCAAGTAGTGTCTCCTTGACTGGTAATTACATTTAGTCAAACAAAGCTGTCTTGGTGGACAAATTTTGTGTCAGGATAGCTCTGCAGATAAATTTGCTACATACTTTAAGCCCTGTTTTGGAGTTATCTTGTGTTATATGTCTACAGTGGGAAAGGAGGAATAGATCTAAAGGGATATAGGCAGAATAGAAATGCAGAGTGCAAAAAGTGAAATGCGAGCATCTAACTACAGGAAGATAAGCTCTGAACTAGCTTCACTGTAGAGTTAAAGGAAGTATAGAGTTAGTATAACTTCACAGAAATTTAACTGATCAACTGCTAAATTAAGAAAATCGTGAGAGACGCAAATAATGATTTGGCATTTGTGAATCCCAGAATAAATGTATTATGCCTTTTGGAAAAATTGCGTCTTGGCAGCTAGATTCCCAAGGTGCATAGGGAGTACTGAGTTATCTGCTGTGTCTTTATGTATGTGAAGAAATCAGTTCTAAGGTGGCTTATTAGCTAAAATTTCCTCATTTTCATTAATCTATGGGTGCTTTATTTTTCCTGTAACTGTATCTGCTTACCTCAGTGCATTTCTGCTTTCATAACTTGGTAGATATTTAAGCATGAGAATAAAGGATCTAAATGTTGGATGTACTTCTTTTTTTCTTTCTTTTTTAAAATTTTAAATAGCTCAAGTGACTATAGAGGAAATCACTCCACTTGTTCCTCCACAATCAGGAGATAAAGGACAAGAAGATTTAACAAGCTATTTCTTGGAAGCCCTTTTGAAATACATAGTAATTCAGGTATGTTTTATAGCTTTCAAACAAACAAATATGAAACAACTAACACCTGTTTGTCCATTACAAGAAGACATTTACTAGTAATACTGCAAATGTATATAAAAATGTTTTAAGTATGCCTCCCCCTTGCCCCCCGTGCCCTGGATGTCCTTTGTAAGAAATAAATTATCCTAGAAGATTTTTCACTTGTCTTCTGTGAAGATTCATGGGTCTGTTATCACAGGGTCATGCATCAGATTGCAGCATGGAGAAAAAATGAGACTTGTTGGTCACTTCCAGAAATGCGGATTCCAGCTCCCTTCCCATTTCCACCTCTTCCCTGCCCACCTTGTTCCCTTTAACTGGTTAAAAGATCAACTGGGCTCTTTCTTATTATGTGGGTTTCTTGGTGGTCAGGGACTTCGCTTTTCAAACTAAGGGGAAACTTCTAACTGAAAGCATTGAGTTTTTGTGATATGGCTTGAACAAACTTGCTGGCTCTTCTCCTAGGTTTATGCTCAGGCTATCTGGTAAAACCAAAGCAAAACAGGTTGTCAGACTCAGTGGTTTGTAAGACTGGGACTGCCAGTGTCTGTGCTTAGGGTCATATTTTTCTCCACTTATCCTTCTGGAATTTCTGCTGTTACAGTAGATTAACCATAGAGCTTCTCCATTCTTTAATGGAAACAGGCTGAGCTACTGGAAAGCCCTAGTTAGTAGAAATGCTCCAGGGTGTGTTTAGAACATGATACAGAGATGGCTTTCTAGCAAAAATTTGTGGGGTTTCTTTGTTTGTGTGCTTTTTTTGTTTGTGGTTTTTTTATTTTTTTTCCCTGATCAACAGGATAATTTTCTGTCTGGATCTTGCAGGGATGGTGCCATGACTCCTAATGGTATCTTAACTGTACTTTCTGGGACTTTAGTTTTAGAAGGTCTTTAAGCTCAGTCGCAGTACAGTACACTGCATAGAGAAAACTTGGGATTACTGCTACATCTGAGCAAGTGAACCTCTTCAAAAGAGAAGTAGTGGGAAACAGTACATACTTGGAGTACTCCAGATCTGGCAAAGTGTATGAGTTGTGTTCTCACTGCTGAGATTACACTCACTTTGTGGCATTGCTATATGACACCAGGCAGTAAGATCTTGCAGATCCCAAGGTACCTAGAAGGCAGATTATGGAGCTAAACTGTACACAGAAAATGAAGGCTTGAATGAGTAACTAGTTCATGGTGTGCAACTCAGGCACACGCTATGTCCTTCCCCTCTTACTTTGACGCTTCCATGATCTCAGTATTTCAGATGCCTAGAACAGGGTGTGGCAAGAGCTCCTATCAAAAACTGTGGTGTAGCTATTATGTTTTACATAATTGGTTTGCTGGCCAGTTAGCATACACTGCTTCCAAGCCTGCTCTGCTGTCATGTGCCCAGCAAACATGCTGTGGGTGTTCCAGGGTACTGCTTTCTGGGTCAGACTTGTCCAGCAGAACCCAGTTGGGTTTCAGTCCGTAAGTTTTTTTCTTCACACTTTTCCAGGTTGTGCTAGAGACAAGGGATAGTGGCACAAATATGGCCAACATTAAACTGAAATATTTCATAGATTCCTTTTATCTGTCTCACTCTGTGAACTTGCACTGCTGGAATAGTTTGTAAACTTATTGTTGCTTTCAGCATCTCTGAGTTTGAACAGAGTTCATCATACTTGCAATGTGTAGGCTAAGCTTAATGATGACTGTTCAGCTTGCATAAAAAAACCCCTTACATTCTTGAAGACAACTCCCCTCTCTTTAATAAAGCAGTAATATTATATTTTAGATAAGTCATTGAGACAGGTGTTACAGAACTTGTTTGCTATGTGAATGCTGAAGTATTTTGATGAAGTCTCTTTAGAAGCACTGATAATTTCAAGCTGAATAGTTACTTTTTTGACATTAAGTTCTGCTAAAGGACTTTGTGTCACTATTTTCTGCATATTAGTCATCCATTCTACTGAATTATATTGGGGAGGGACATATATATATGTGTATGTATATTCCATTTTAAAGGCTTATTGGCCTGAAAACATATCATAATGGAACTGTGGACTTAAAGTAAGGAATAGAGAAGACAGGGT